ATCCACTTCTACCCCCTCCCTTCACATCTAAAATGTAATTAGTGTTAGAAATATATATGGGTGGGTGACTGATAGCAAGAGATAAAAAACCAAACCCCAACCCACTGCCATCAAATCTATTCCAGGTCACATTGACCTTGAGGACAGTTAGCGTAGAACTGTGTCCGAGGCTGTACCTCTTTACAGAAGCACACTACCACACCTCCTGTGGAGCACTTGGTGAATTCAAACTGCTGACCATTTGGTAATGAGCTGAGCACTTAACCATTCGACCACCATGGCTCCCTTAGAACTAAATAGGGCACAAAAATATGCTGAGAAAAAAGGCAAAAGTTGTAATATCTCCCCTGATTTTGTGTATGTGCCAGTGTGCTTACAAGGTTTTCCTAGCCTCACTTTACTGTCTCTTTCTTGACTCCTTTCCTGTAAGAGTGTGTGGTCTAGGCGAGGGAGCTGTGGCCATTATGTGTGCGTATGGCACACAAACAACCTGGTGGAGACATACTGTGCAAGCATCAGGATTACTGTGTGCTTAAAGAGATGTTTCCCCCATGCAGCGGCTAGAAGTTGTTGAAAATCTCGTCGTTGACCCGTCTCTAAAGGTGTTCCAAAACTATCAGAAGTCCATAAAGCAATGTTGGCAAGGGCAGTTCTATATCCCACTGTGTGTAGTTCTTGCTAACAGTAGTTAAATAAGCAGACGTTTGCTTTTTAAGCAAATGGCAGGCAGTGACAGGCTCCCTTCTTACCTTTTATCTTTCATTGGATTATTCTGTCTGGATTTTTACTAGGCTGATGTTGTATTAAGTAAATAAAATTATTTTTATCACAGGAATTTAATTCCTTTTGGTTTGGCAAGCCTTAATTGATGTTTTAGCAGAAGGATACATGACTGAATGTTGGAATCCTATTATTTATCAAAACAGTTGTCTTTGTGCCCTCTCCCACTTAGAGGGAAATAGTTTGGATTCTAGTGCAAAGTTGAAATATCTGGGAAGATGACAGTGTCAATTTTTTCACTCAAGGTATCTGGAGCAGCATAGTCTGTGGTGGTCTGGTCATTTTCCTGCCTTTGGGAAGTTCTCTTATGAATGGGAGGATGAACGGTAGTAACTCTAGAATATGTTTTATCTTTCAGCTTGGAACAGAAAATAATGGGTGTCTCTTGGAGATCGGTATTTAAAGTCTTTCCCCCCCCCATGCTTATGATAGCATTGAGAGATGTTCCTTACTCCTTTGGGTACAAGATCAAGGGTAGAAAGGAGCCTGAAGAGCTGGTGTTTATTGCCTTTTGGATAGAGACAGAAGGTTTTGTTTCAGCAGTTCAACTAATTTCACTTGCTTTGATTAATACAGAAGAGAAAGCACAGTCTGCTTGTTATTATTTAACTAGGAGCCTAGATGGTGGAGACTTGTGTGGAATGCGGTGTCCTTTTCCTTGGACGAGGCTGCATGTCTTTCTGGGAGGACCAGTTATCTTTGTCTGAGGGGTGCTTTGACTCTCTTAGGGGACCTGTGTATGCCTATCTTGTCATCACTGACAGCTCTGCTGGCCTGGGACATCTCTGTCACCCTCATGTTACCACCCTCTCTACCTCCCCTGTTCTTTTTGGGAAGACATACCTGTGGCCCTTGTGATGAGGTGTCAGCGTGTCTTCTAATGTATCTCACGCTTTTCTCACCAGGAAGAGGAAGAGCAGGAGGAAGAAGATGATGATGAAGATGACGATGACACTGATGACCTAGATGAGCTTGACACTGACCAGCTGCTGGAGGCAGAGTTGGAGGAGGATGACAACAATGAGAACGCAGGGGAGGATGGGGACAATGACTTCTCTCCCTCTGATGAGGAAATAGCAAACCTGCTAGAGGAGGGAGAGGACGGG